AAAGGTGTCTGTCATTTGGAGAAAACATGGGTTGCACCAAAGGACACTCATGTGTGTCCATCATCCGAGAGGGCCCAACTGTTAGAAGCCATGCGCAGGGTCACCCAAAGAAGGGGGAGAGGGTGCGGATTTGGGAAAGAGTGCTTGCGCAGGTGGGTGTCGCAGGGTCAAACATTCTTCGTGCAAGGCAAGCTGCCAAAATGGAAAAGGACAGCGACGTACTGGTGAGGAGGCAGTGCACCATTAACGATCGCGCCACATAGGCTATCCCTGAATCCACACACCGGCCCACCATGGAGGTAAGCTCCACGCACCCAGGAAATTTAAGTCGGGTCCCAACGGCCTGGAAACTGAGGAGGACAAAACACTATCATCGCAGGCAGGTGTATGGTACGTGCATTGCGTAGGCACTGTCACCCGACATCACACTCACCCTTCGGCCACACGGACCTGGGCACAAGACTCTGTAAGGCCTGTCTCCACACCATCCCAGCATCAACGTCAAGACTGAAAGCCGTCTGCGTTGTAATCTCCACCGCCGTGAGCCACATGAGTCTGGCCACTCTGATTCCATCATAGATCTCAAGCGCAACCTGTAGAATTGCTATGGCGCCAGGGCCCGGAGGGTACACATGCACCATAGGTGGCGAAATCTGCACCAGAAAACAGGCCTAGGTCCATCAACGTGCGCATCGGCATTCACAGTGCAATGCAGGGTAGCGCAGCCACGCCACACACCAGGCAGCGCAAAAGCAGCTACCTGGGGAGGCAAGGATGCAGGGCTTGCAAGGCGAGGTGCCAACATCGGAGGCGACGGCCGGGCCATGGCGAACTACAACCTACGGCACAAGGCAAGCACTGCACAACTGCGAGAGGCCGATCGGAGAGGCCAGCACGAACACAGGAACGGCGCGGGCGGGTGGCCACCCACTTTGTGGACGCAAGGACCCCTCAGGGAGAGGCAGCCTTGCCTTGGGGGCGCTACTCCCCAAGCCGAAGACTGGTGAGCCAGACAGCTTTTGGGGCCATGACTAAAAATATACCAACATTTGGGGAAACCCAAAGGTCAAATGTTGATTCGCTTTGGGCAAGAGCTTTCCCAAGGGAAACTCACCTTGGGCCAAGGCGACGTGACAAACAAAACACATGGGAGAAACAGTTGGACCCTAGAGAACCAAAAGCCATAGCCCAAATCTGGCTCTGGGGTGGGAAGCTACCCCTCAAAACCAACGAAACTACCAGCTAGAGGAAAGCTGAAGGTCCCAAATCGAAACTCCCCTCAAAATACCACGCCTACCGAGAAAAGCTCCTCTGAAATGGACCAACATAGGGGGAGCCCCAAGATAGGCGGTTTCCGTTTGATTTCTCTTTAAACCAACCTTCAAAATGGAGCCCACAAAAAGCACTCGCACACACACGTATGTATCCATATATACATACATATGTAAATAGTTGGACTGCTCAAAATGGAGGGTTTGCCAATGCCAATCCATAATCCCTGTAGAGAAATGCCCGCAAACCGCATCCTTAACCAAAAACACAAGGATCTCGCGGACCTTTGAACAGCCCCAGTGTGAGTTTGTCACCAAGGAGGGAGCCCCGGTCTTTTCGCGGCTTTCCTTCTGATGTCCCAACACCCAACCAAAAGGATGGCGCCTGAAACGACGCGACTTCTTTCACCGGACATAGGCGAAGCGAAGGGGAGCGCAACGCGCGCAACGCGCGTCCTTGAGCTTCGCCTTGAAGTCAACCATCGCCTGGAAGGACCAATGGACGGAGATCCACTTTGGGCGGTTGGGTACTGTACCCCTTCTCAAGCTGGGTTGATATGTCGGTCTAAAGTTGGTACAGAACACCTTGTAAAGGTTGATGTGAAGGTCGGATTAAAGTTGGTGCGAAGGTTCGGTACAGTACCCTTTCAAACGGTTGGTTTACATGCTGGCTTAAGTTGATTCAAGGGGTGGCACAGAACACCTTTTGAAGGTTAGTTAAATTGTTGGGGTTCAAAGGTTGGTAGATTACCCATTGGAAGGTTGGTTTACAGGTTGGCTTAAAGTTGGTTCACAGGTGGGTACAGTACCATACAGTACCTCTGTTTAAGGTTAGTTCAGAGGTGGGTTTAAACTTGGTGCAAAGGTTGCTACTGCACCCTTCAAAGGTTGGTTTCATTCTTGGCTTAAAGCTGGTGCGGGGGTTGATACACTATCCCTTTTAAAGGTTGGTTCAAAGGTTGGTTTAAAGTTGGTTCAAAGGTTGGTGCTGCAGCCCGTTTGGGGTTGGTTTGAAGGGTGGGAAAAAGTTGGTTCAAGGATTGGTACAGTGCCCCTTTGAGGGTTGGTTTAAAGGTTGGTTTAAAGTTTCTTCAGGGACTGCACTCATTCAACGGTTGATTTCAGAGTTGTTTTCTGTTGATTCAAAGGCTGGTTCAAAGCTTGGTACTGTACCCCTTTTGAAGGTTGGTTTACAGGTTGGCTTCAATTGGTACTCTCAAACAAGCACCAAACCCCCAAAGACCCTCTGATTTCACCAGAGAACCACAGCGAGCCTGGGGCGCCCGCCTGCTTGGCCGACTTCAGCTGCGCCTCTGCATCGGCCTGCTGCGACGACATGGTCTGGTGCTCCTGAAAAAGCGCGGACGTGTAGGTGTTCTCTTTTTAGGCTGGTTTCAAGGAAACTGAAGGGAAAACTGCCTTCCAACACCCAGAAGAGGGCCCTCAAGTGTAGGACACCCTCACCGGGAAACCGGACGCCATTTGCCGTTGCGTGAGATGAGATACAAGTAACCAAGCCCAACTGGGGGTAGGAGTTGAGATGACTTTGATAGCGAGGAAACGGTGGCAAATTAACCAAGTCCTGGCATAGAAAAGCGGATTTCAGAGGAAATACAATGGCAATGAGATAAGATACCTGACACATTGGTCCATCATCGGTTGCTAAGATTCTTGCATGGTCTTTCATTCGTGGTGGCACAAGTCTTTTCCATATGCCCTCTCAAGTTGGCACAAGACAATCGACACGCTCCCCCGCAAATTCAAACAACCAACATGGCCACAAGCAATTAAACCAAACAAAAACACCATAGACACATATGTATATATATATATATACATCTAATCTATATATATATATATATGTATGTACATACATATATATATATACGTATGTACATCTATAGACGTATGTACATACATATCTATCTACGTATGTGTATATATATATATATATATTGGACAGGGAGTCCATCAGGTCACCCAGTCAACTCCGAGCTCCTCCTTGGCCTTCTCTAAGCTCTCGCGGGCCGTTGCCAGCTCCTCCTGACCCAAGCCGACTGAATAAAATCAAACGCACCCTGTTCATAAGCGATTTGTTGTCCGGACTCCGAATCTCACTCCCCCCATCTCACCCCTCCCCCGGCCAAAATCTCATGCAACTTTGACACCAACTTGAAAGCAGATCCCGCTGTCGCACAGCCAACGGGGTACGAGCACCTCCCTTCATGCCATACATGGGTTTCCATTTACCTACAGGTGACATGTATTGAAGCGATCCTCGTTGATGGAGGAAAGGCTGAAATCATGACACTCAGCTTCCCTCAAAAAGCATGGCTTGGATTGGTGGTTTGGATTTCGAGGTGTTCCGGGCTTCCCCATTTACCCGGGCTCAAATCCAAATCCAAAACCACCAATCCAAACCACCAACCAACTGGGCCTCTTACCCCCGCTCTTCGTATTCAAAGGGCAACCAAAGCTGGGCTGGCGAAACCACCAAACCCACCCAAGAAGAACGCTAAAGGCCAAACCGCCGGCCAGCAAAAACACCCAGAGCCGTATTCGGACTCAGCTGGTGCCGGGTTGAACCAACCAAACAAAAACACCCAGCGCCACTGTTCGTCCACCGGCCTGGGCTTTCCCAACAGCCCCCGCCTCGAAGGCTTTCACCGCCTTGGCCATGACGCTGCCCAGCAGCCCGGCGGCTTTCGGGAGCTCCTCCTGCGGCCCAAAACCACCCGGTTCTCTTTTTTGTCTTTTTCATATTGTTCGTTGTTCTTCTTTTTTGTGCTTTTCATGTTTCTTTTTCGGAAGCGTGTTTTTCTTTCTTTTTTGAAAGGGCTGCGGGAAGGCAAAAACTGAAACATGTACGTGGTTTCTGGTTTTGCCCTTGTGGTTTAGAGAAACCACTCCCAAAACTTGACGTGATGATTGATGGTTTCCTTTGAAGCGCCTCATGGTGGTTTTTAAGGAAACACACTCACCAAAACCTGACTTGATGGTCCTGAGGGGAAGGTTGAATGACCGGCACAAACCATCCACGATTCCATTTTAGATCCCAAAAGGTTCATTCGCAAAACCCTTGAAGTTCCCAGTGAATGGGAAAAAACACAGGAAATTTGTTGACTTCCGTTTTAAGTATGAGAGGCGATTTCTATACTTCTTTGTCTGAAATCCGTGAGGTGTATCTGTGTCTCTACAGTGTTGCTTCCTGTCGCAGCTGACGGTCAGTGAGAGCACAGCTGTGAAGACCCCTTCCCTCTGACCTGGCTTCCTCTACAAGTGAGATACCCTGGACAAATCCTGGGAAACGATGCCCTTCTCACCAGCTGCAAGATAAAACAGCAGTTGAACTACGACTGAACTGCACGTGAAGACTCATTTTGGCCCTTGCCGGTCTTCATTCAAGTTAGTCCACCAAGGGGGCTAAAACAAATGTCCCTTTCAACATCACAGGAAAAGGAACCTCACCGCAAATCCCAAAAAGGGCGACCTAGAGAAACTCGACTCCCGCGTCTACGGAGGTCGCGCCGAGAAGATCCGCGCGCGACGGAAAGATCCGCGACGGATCGGAGCCTTCTTGCCGCTCTTGGCGCACTTCAGGGCCTGGCGCAGCACCTGCAGCGCCTCCTTCGGGAGCGACGCGTCCTTCTGGACCCGCTGCAAGATGGCCACGCACCTGATGAGCCAAGGAGCCCAGGGGATGGTAAACCCATGGGGGTTTAAGGGGAAACCGCACAAAGTGGTTGGCCACTTCACCGCTTTACCACCTAGAGGCATTCCATAGGCGTTCCCTTTGTACCAAAGAAACTGCTCCACAACCATGCACCTGTGGCTCGACAGCGTTTGAAGAGGGTCGAGCTACCATAAACTGTACCCACTTTCTGTTGTACGGGTTTACTACCGTTGCACGATGGTTTTCCCCTGGTTACCCGCTATAGTGGTGTGGTAACTGGAAGCACCGGGGTATACAACAAAAAACGGTTGTATTTAGTGGAGTTGGTAAAATTTCCGGGATACAATTTACGCCTTGGGATTTGGCGATTTGGGGAACTTGGGTAGGCCATGGGGCCGCGCGGTTAAGGGGTGAAGTACAGTAGATAGCAGTTTCCCATGGGCCCAAATCAAGGCAATGTGCTCCTACTGAACAGGGCGGCTTGGTGTGGGGCATTGTAGGTTGCCTGGCTCTCTCTCTCTGTCTCTCTCTCTCTCTCTCTCTCTCTCTCTCTCTCTCTCTCTCTCTCTCTCTCTCTCTCCTTTGGTGGGTAAGTTGCAATGCATGGCTAAATGAGCCGGGCTTGTGGTTTTCTAACAACGGAAGTGGAAAGGGGGCTTGGAGAGAAGGCCCCTTGTCCACTTTCAGGATTCCTTGAACCTCCCTCTTGCTTCGCTGTTTATATACCTTACATAGTAAGCCAACCCCCGTCGGTCAGCCTTTATAATCAAGCAGTGGGCCATAACGGGGTTTCTCAAACTAGACCCCCAAAAAGATCAACGCTGTCCTTATGGTCTCCCTTTAAACACCAACCAAAAGGAGGCTTTTTCCAAATGGTGGAGCCCCCGTAAACCGCTGGAAGGCTCCGCAGTGCCCCCCGCCTCTTGCTGGTGAGACCTGGTGCAGGCGCCGCCTTCGCCACCTTCGCTTTCGCCTTCGCCACCGCCTTCGCGGCGGGGCGCTTCAGAGGCTCCTGCGATCCAACCGCGACTCACGGGTGGCTCGTCTTTTTCTGAGGCTACCCTTAGATTGTTGTAGAGTTGGAATCTTTACACCAATCCAATGGTAGCCTCAGAAAAAGACGAGTCAGCCACATAAGAAAGGAAACCACTATTTTATTTGCTTCGATTTGGGTCACCTTATTTTGGCACAATGTGGATGGACCAAATCCAGGCACCAGGCCTTTTCACAGGGACCAAGGCCAAGCTTGAGCAGGCATTTGGAGGAAATCGGGGAAAGGGCAATGGGGAGCGGGGGTGAATCCTAGGAACATCTCAAGTGTCGCGCAAGTGGCAAGAGGGTTGACCCTTGGCTGCACCAAAGGAAGCTCTATGGTCTGAGCTGTTGATGCAAAAAACCACCTTGGGCGGTTGAGCGGCCCTCCGAAAGAACTGAGGCCATCACCCTCAAAAAAAAACAAAACAACTTGTTTTTTCTTTTTTTTTACTCATAGGTAACTGTAAAAAAAAAAACGTCAGAGACCTCAATTCTGAGAATATATCAATCGTTTCTTAGATTCACCGTCTCGCATTATCCATCGTCAAGGCCCACGCTTGCTGAAAACCTCTCTCTCTCTCTTTCTCTGGGCTCCAGTTTTTGTTACCATCAAAGTCACCTAAGTGGCGGGGTCAAGGGGGGGAAACAAAAAAAACATGAGTTGACTTGGATAACCCCCACAAACCGGCAAACAAATGACCCCAGTCTCTCTCTCTCTCTCTCTCTCTCTCTCTCTCTCTCTCTCTGACGGCCGCTCCTGGCGTCGCAGCGTCATCGCGATGCGGAGATGGGAGATGCGTGACGAGTGCTTTGAGCTTGCTGCGGAGACACGCATCCCGGAAGGCACAATCGCCGCGCTCAAAGAGGAAATAAGCCCACACGGCACCCCCAACAGCTCTGGATTTACCTGGAACACTCCTGGAACCCATAATCATAGCTTTCAGCTGTTTGGGAATGGAAAAGCGGACGAGTCAGTGGTTGACAATACAACAAAATGCTCAAGGAAGCAATCGCCACCAAAAGAGAAACTTCAACAGGGCGATACCTTAATTAATCGATCCGGATGTAGAGACCCCCCAACATGGGCCACACGCCGGCTCATAGCGCCTGCAGTACTGTGCTTTTCGGGCCCTTGACGGTGCCATCCCGAGGAAGGGCGGCCTCAACTGCTTCCATTTGTGGAAGGGTCCAAGCAACACGGTCGTGGGAAGTTACCCTTTCTGTACCAAAGTTGGCCGGGCCTATGACCCCAACTTTCAATGACCATGGCAAGTAATTAGTCTCAAAGTATTTGCGAGCCCTGCTGTTTTGTGCTTTTAAATCAAGCAAATGCTTCGCTCATTCAAGACATCAATGTGCATGCTTCTATGAGTCCAAAACGTGCCCCACGTGATCGGAATTCCACTCCTGCATTGGCAGCATTGCGCCAAGCGCAACTCTGGCGTGAACTAAAAAATATGTGTTCAGATTGTGGTCCATATTGTGGCAACCTCGAAATCTCGCGTATTTGTTGAGGAGACCCCAGATTTGAGGAGGGTAAGAGAAATGACTGGAGTTCCTATTGCCAAAGAAGGCTCACACACACGCACACACCTCTCCTTTTTCGGGTCTGCCTTTGTTGGCAGACCTAGCAAGTCAACTCAAACGACGTAGGTCTGTCTCAAAAAACTAGGGTCCTCTGGTCCCCTTTGGATGAGCCGCAAGAAGACAGTTCATTTTTCTCTGATTTTGAGAAGCCGCGGCGGCTTGTGGACTTGTGGTCGCAAATGATGGGGAAAAAATCAGGGCACTTGTTTCTGGTAAGGAAAACAAAACATGCTTTCCGTGCCAGAAACAAGTGCTCTGATTTGTTGGCATATTTTTGGGAACGGGAGCACTTTCAACTCCTTTTTCTTGGTAGCTGATGTTTGTTTAAGGGGCCCCCCGCCAAATCCCAAAAACATCATGGCAAAAATGGCAAAAGGCTCGCAACCCACTGGGTGTCTGGGAGATCGAGTCAGCTGCACTCGCCACGAGCCGCGCGCCCGGCACCTGTCCATCAGAGAAACCCCCCGCCGGTGAACCCCGGGCCAGCCACGACACTTCCTGGGTGGATGGGCAAAAACAAGTCGATTAGATATTGTTTGACCGCGAAACTGGTCTTCCACTGTTTAAAAGTCCACAAACTCAGGGACTGGGTATAGGAGGTTTTCTTTACCAGGGTTTACATGATCTCGTTTTTCTGGCTACCTACTATAGTGGGAATTGGAATTGGGGGTGTCCCTTTGCCAACACCAAAGTTCTTCCTGTAACAAGTGCAGCCGCCAAAAAAGCCTGTTGGCTCCCAAACAACAAAGGAAATGGCCTCATCATGGACCCCTCCCCCCCCCCCGCAAAAAAAAAAAAAAAAACAACAACATAGAAATGTGGGCCTGGCACAGGGAAGACAACTTTCCGCCCCTTGAGCTTTAATTTAAGGTCCACTGCAACCGCAAGAAACAATAAGCGGCCAAAACTTGAACAAGAGTGGTTCTCGTTTTGTTTTTTCTCCAACTCCTTTTGATCGCTGACAAAAAGCAACACATGCCGCAACAAAATGTATGTGACATTTTGCTCCAGGCGGGCAACTGAGCCCAATTTCCGACACTTGGTCTTACTGCGTGCCTGAATTTGCTTGCTCTGTGGCCTTCTGTCGGTGCATCATTTGGATTGACCTGTCTCTACTAGACAATTGACTGGGCTGCCCTCAGATCCCCCCGCTAAAAGTTTAACTTTTAGTGGGTTAAATGGAAACTACCTCTAAACACTAAAAAGCTAAAAGGCTGCTACTGTGCGCATTGTCAGCTGCTCCCATGAAACCGGGCTGCGGAAAACAAGACCTGCCGCCTTGACTTCCGTTCTGCAAGGTCCTTCGCAGGGAGAATCATGGCGAATCCACGTTTGAGCAAGTCTTTGGCTCGGACAGTTGCCTCACCAGTGATGAACCACGTGTTTTCTGGTCGTCTGAAAAAGCAGATCCCGCACCCGGTTGGGGTCCATGAACCACACGCAAGGGATTGCTGAACTAGTAGTGTGTCCTTGACCCTTGTGGGGCCATTTAGTGCGTCCCTCGCGCCTTTTCCGAACGGGACCGGACTACCAATGGCTGGGCTCGGAGGTTGAGAGAGTCGATTGAAACCAAAAGGTCACACGCAGTCGGCCGAGTTTCTGACCAGGTGCAGTTGCGATGATCGTTCCTTTGTTTACAACCCGCAATCAAGCAAACATGCATTCTCCTCCAAAATCCGATGGAACTTTGAAAGGCATCATGCTAATCCCTCTACTGGAAGCTCTGCTGGTCTCGCCTGATAGTCTTTGAGGTGGGAACGGTCTGCAAAAACAACGGCGTGAAAGTCCGCTCCCTGCCTGAAACGCGGCCATAGCAGGATCAAATTGCTCCCTCTCTCTGGAACAAAAAACACACACACAGAATGCTCACCCCAAAAAATGCGAACAAGCTACAAGGATTGCCTCGGGCATCCCCCCAAACCCTCAGTCTGAGCACACAAAATAGCGGTCCCGGTCCTGAATTTTGAGCCATGGCGGCTTCACCCTCACTGCCACACCCATTTCAGAGACCCACCGCGACCGAAACACACCAAATCAGAGACTGGGAAGAGGATGCCTCTGTTGAAGGTTGCAACAAGTCTAAGAGAGCCAAATTCACGGTGTTCTTGAGGCTTCTATGCTGGACTGGTTTCTATGCTGTCGACCTCAGAAGTTCATGCATGCACTTGTCCTCCCCAAATCAATGGTAAACCTGCACAAGTCCCTTTTGGACACTATCGCGTTGTTGTGCTTGGCCCAAATCAGGCAGCATCAACAAGGCAGGCTAAAACTTGTGAGGTGTCCCCAAGTTCACGTGCATTGGCCCTCATAGCTGAGTTTTGATAACAATCTCTCGATGAACAAACCTGTCCTATCAATAGGGAGGCGTTCTCTCCACTTGAGGAGCGGGTGAACGAAAGCTAGCAGTTGTTGCATGAGATGGGTCGGTGACAGAGTGGATTCATAGGTAGCTTGTGTACAACGAGAGGCCCGGCAAGATTCGTAGGATGCGACACGCAAACGCACATGGTGGCGTGGCAAACCTTGAAAACTGAAAACAACGAGAGGCGTCAGAAGCTGTCTTAAAGTACCTCTGGGTTCTGCATGCAGCGTGTGCAAAGATTCTTGCGAGGTGGTTTACCGAGAAGACTGAGGTCTCAAATGCACAAGCTGAATCGGTGGAACATGTAAAAGTTCGTAGCACCAAGTTCAAAACGGGCAAACCGAGACTGCTGAACACTGAGCCACTGCCCGGGGGGGGGGGATGGACCAGGGAGGAATCGAGCCTGAGACCCGGGGGGGGGGGGGAGGGGGGGGGGGGTCTAAATAATTGATGTTTTTCAATCTTTTCGGCTCAAATAATTGAAAAAATCAATCTTTCGGCATTTGAGCCCCTTACCTTGCTTACGCAAGGAGAAACTTCAGCTAGCTAAAGCTGGCTTTCGTGAAAAGTGATTCCCCGCGAAACCCAGGTATTGACCAAGTTGGGGTTGATTCATCCAAGGCTAACAATATATATTGGACCACCCCCGTGCTCAGTATTGCCATCTACCCGCGCAACAGAATCAAGACACCGAGAGGAGCTGAGGCCTGGGCTGCAGCGCTTTGCCCGCGACTGGCCCGTCAGACTTCGTTCGTCCTTCCTTTAAGTTGGTTGGCCTGGAGCAAACCAAAGAAGCCTTCCGGAACCCTACCGCTTTCACGTAGGTAAACCCACGCTTTGTTGTGAATAACCTTGAGTGAACCCCAGCCCCCCCCCCCCCGCGCGTTTGTTTCAGCAGGTCAACTCTTTGAACGCCGGCGGAAGGCGCACTCTGTAAGGCGTAAGGCATGCAAGCATCTTAAGGTGGCACGCATGCCGGCAAGCGACCACGGGCGTGCCCGCAAACGGTGGCATGCATGCATCTCGTTAAGTCCTACTCAGAAATCCACTAGACAGCGGATCACGGCTGGTCTTCAGGCATGCGTTGGGAACCGGGCTTTTGGGATCTTTATTTCACGCTATGCCATACACATGGACGGAGCAAATGCTGCCGTGAATAAGGTGCTGACAAAATTATCCTGTAGAATTAAGTGCTCCAAGGTTCAAATGGGCCCAATCACCCGTTCAAGTCTCCTTTGTACACCGTGCCGTCGGAGCAGCATTCCTAATGACGGGGGAGGGAGCCCCAATAAGCGCCAAATAAGGCCTTATCGGGGGCTTAAAAAGGGCTTATTTGGGCTCCCTCCCCCCCCCGGCCCCCAGAATGAGGTATCACATCGTTCACATTGGGCATCCAGAGTCGCAAGCAACACTTCAACCAGCCAACGGCGGGTTCATCCCAGCAGAAGGCGCGGGCATTTCAAGTTCGCCCTAAGCCTTAGACCAGACATGATCCACACTGAAATCTTTGGGATGTCAGGATCCTCCGTTATTCTCGCTCATTCCCCGTTGTGGGGAAGACAATGAATTGGTGCATGGAAGCGTACAGCTCGGCTCGGCACCCTCCGAAGAGGCAAAAGAGACTTTCCGAAAGGACACTCACCCCAGTTGAAAAACCTGCTTTTTGAGTCTCGCTGACTCACTGGTCTTGCCAGGCTCCAAGCCACTGGGGATAGTCTCAAGGCAGCAAACCCGTTTTGTGAGTCTCACTGACTCACTGGATTCAAGGGCAATCGCTGGTTTCGCCAGGCTCCACTTGGGATAGTCTCAAGGCAGCTGCAAACAGGTGAAGCCGTCCAGCGGCTTGCTGGCTTGGATGCCTCGGGCTGGACGGAAAACACCCAAACTCAATCACGAACAAAAGATCACCAATTCAAACCATCAAGAAACTTGGGTGCTGTAGATCCCCTAGCCAAAAGTTTAACTTTTTGCTGGTTAAAAGAAAGTATGAGGGGAATCCAAAAAGTTAAAGTCTAAAGATCCAACCCAACAGCAGTAGAGGAAGAAGCTGAGGTTTCGCACAGAAAGGTAACGCACACTCGGTTGATCATGGTCAGCTACCTGAACTCTCTCTCAGTAATGCAGCAACAGCGTATGAAAAGACAGCAGATGTTGAGAGAAAGAATGCGAGGTCAGATTTTTCTTGTACTGGGTAGCAAATAGGGGGTTGGAAAAAACAGTACTCATTTGTCTTCAAGCTGATAAAATTACAAATGGTCCAGTCTACAAGGTTGGCATAAGGTGTCTTCATGCACCTTGCTCAGCGCAACGAGAAAGTGTGATTGGCTGTTCGGTACTAGGGGAAGCTGTGCAAATCATCCGGTATCCCATTCCAACTAACAATGTTCGTCCCAAGCTGGGAAACGGCGCAAGGAAATCAGAGGTTCCGTCAACAAATCATGGCAATTTCATGGCGGTTGTGCCCCCACCCCTGTCGCTCGTCGCTGCCGGTTCTGACGATGTAAGAAATGTACATCGAGACATGGCGTCTGACATTGACATGCCCAAAATGCCGTTTTACAAACAGTGAAAAGGCCTGAATGATGCTCTGCTGGTAGAATGTCATACTCTGTGCTGTCTCGCAGAATCAAGAGTGTTTGCGCGGGCTTCCACAAGAAGAGGCTACTAACCCTCAACTACCCCGTCAGCCATTACAAAATCGTCTCATTTGAGCTTTCCCCTGCGTCTGAACGCTTAACAGAAATTGTGGGCAAAGTTATTGAACTAGTATTGGCTTAAAGCTTCACTGCAGTGCATAGCATATTTGCTTGAAACCAAACTGCAGCATATTGCAGGTATTTTAAGCAAACCTTATGTTTGTGTTTGCTTGAAACATCGCTGCAGTACATATTGTATTTGCTTGAAACCTCACTGCAGTACATATTTAATACAACATTATGTATACAATACAGCACATTGCAGTTTAATATTACGCTATCTACAACGTTGATAGACAATTCGACAGGATAAACAATTAGCTTCATCGTCCACTTCATCTATTGACATATTGAGCTTCTTTTTTTAAACTAACTATATTACTTCAAAGGTAGACCATTTATCCAACATGAGATAAGTGGTAACCATATTCGTTTGTGTATAGATTATCTATGTTCGATTCTGTGCTGAAGGACCTTTGGGTGAACCTAAATGGGTTCTGGTCATTGCTGGGGGAATATTGAAAAGCATTGTGTGATGCCAACCAGGCATGGAGCCAAATCAAATAGTTTTTGACTCCTTGAACAAAAACGCACGTGAATTCTTCACCCTACCCCCTAATTGGTAGTTGGGTTTGGTGGCTTGGTCTTACGGGTACCTTTCTCATTTAGCTTCAAGCGGAACTGGGGTTCAAAGCCCCAAATCATCAAGCTAAACCACCAATTCAGGGATATACCTAAGTGCTTTTCGGAGGAAGCACACAGCAACCTTGACACAAAGAACCTGACAAATGGCCATCGGCATCCCAGGTTGGGATGCCAAGAATCAAAGGCCGGAAGTGTTCTCCCACTTGAAGACACCCACCCCCCTTCCGCCGCCCTTCCGCCCCGCGAAAATCGGAACAGCCCAAAACCCCGCATCTGAGTCCCTTCCGGAATCCTTCGGACATCATTTGAAATTTTAAAAAAGTCCAACCGGTGAGGGGAGTGGTCCTGCGGGCTCATGGCCATCATGGCCAAGGGGTACACGGCAAATGCGACTTTCAGCTTCCGTTTCATAAGTCATCAACCCCACGACTCCATGAAACTTTGGTTTTGAGATCCCACCCAAACTGGGCTGCTCCCAAATCCCCTGCTAAACGTCTAACTTTTAGAAACTACCCCTAAACCAACTAAAACCCTTAAAAAAAACCTCAGATGGCTGGTTCCGAGTGAAATTTCTGATGGCTTGCAGACCGGTTGGCCAAGGCACCTTCCGGGCGCAGCCAAACCTCGCACCGGCCAAAGGAATACTCCACGCCCTTGCAGCCCGCTTCGGCGCCGCACATGGCCACACAGGCGTCCAAAGACGTCAGGCCCTTGAAGAGCCTGACGTCCAAAACGTGGAGAAACCTAACGGCACTAAAGGCAAATCATATAACCACCACGTAAAGGGTATGCACGTTGTATGTGGCCACCACATCAAGGGCATATACCCTGATTTGCCTTGAGAGTATGGATTTTGATGTGCTCTGGGGGGGGGGGCGGCAGTGGACACACCATCTTAGATAAACCGGCCCTTGGCGGCGGGTTGAGGCTGGTTATAAACTGAGCAAAACTGACTGAAGAGGTTTATAATCCCAGCTATAACCCAACCTAAAGGAAAGCCTCTCTGGGGTTGACCATTCAAGCGGAACCCAAAGAAAGTTGGATTTTGAAGGATGCCACCGGACAAGTATTTTGGGCGGTGCCATGGAACCCACAAAAGAAATGGCCCAGGAAACGGTCAGCCCAAATTTCAGCACTAAACGACCCTAAACCAGTCTGAGTTTCGGATATGTTGGAGGAAACCCGAAATAAATGAAGAAGTTCTATGACAGGGTGAGGGGTTCAACCCCTTCCCAGCGGAACACTCCTTGTGTGTGTGTGTGCTTTTGAGAGTACCCTTTTTGCCAACAGCCCTCAGCCCGCGTTTGGACAGATTTCAAAGGAACCTTACCATCTTGGAACACACCCGTTTCTTAGTCCAAAACTCGCGCAACATCAACCAAACTCGGCCCTGTTTGAGTTTAAGGATTTATTTCAGGTTGGTTTCAGGGGAAACCACGGCCTGGTTTACCGGGAACATACCAAAACCGCATCCGAGAGGGTGCCCGGTTGAGGAAAGCCCTTTCGGGTTCCCTGTCGATTTGCACCCAACAAATCCATTCGAGTGTGGAACTGAGGGAAAGTCACACAGCATTGCCCTCGTGTGTGTTTGGGACTTGCAGCCCCAAAGAATCGGACGCTTCAAAGCAAAGTAAACAGGGGAAGTGTCCCGTGACTAGTTGGGTTGTAAACTAGTCCTTTCGCGACACTCCACGATGGTTACTTGGGATCTGTGTAAGAACAGCTTCCTGTGATGAGTTGAAGTCTTCTTCCTGTACATGGCTGTGGGTAAAGAATAGGTACCCGAAATGGAACCCTGTTTCATGGAACCAAGGACTGAAACCTGCGGTCCCCTAGTGTTTCAATTCTGACCCATACCCACATGTCCTTGTTGTAAAACAAATCAACCGACGTCCTGTAGTAGCTCTGCAGGTTGTCGTTCTCGTGCGCTCCCCGGCAGGCGCGGCCCTCTCCGCCGTCCACGGGCGAAAGGGTCGGCAGATTGTAGCGCAGGCAGGTGAAGCCGGCCACCGCCTGAGTGAGAAACGAAATTGGTCATGGGCATTTCTCAGAGTAGATTGGAGCTAACAGCTTGTCCAGACCTAGACTCCCCTGCAACAAGTGTGCTCTTTGCTGGTGGAAAAATGCAATGATGGAACGCCAAACAGGCAACAAGTCAAAAAGGTAGGCCAAGTCTGGCATTATCCGCCGACAACAGACGGCGTGTTGGACACAAAAAATGCTCCTTACCTCTTTACCTGTTACCCCTCCCCTAACCCCTTCCCAGGGGCACCATTTCAGACTATTGCGGGGGGGGTCCACGTACCACGCGGTGATTCGAAGACGCTTCACTCAATCTGTTCATTGCGCGGGCTTGCGCAACTCAGTTTGTCAAAAACATTGGGGGTGTTCGATTCCCCCCGGGTGCGCTTTCGCATCCTTAGCAGCTCCAGCGGCACATCGCCAGCATCACCTGCATCATCCGCATCAGCGCCTGCCAAGGATGCGGATGATGCAAGTGATGCTGGGGATGTTGCCCATGCTGGTGAAGGAAATGAAGGGGGGAAAGGGGGAAAGGATCTCAACAGCGAAAGGGGGGGAAAGATCTCAGGGAGGAAAGGGAGAAGATCTGGGGAAAAAATACCTTAAGGGGGAAAGGGTGGAAAAGATCTTTGGGAGGAAAAGGGAAATCTTTCTCGGGGGGAACAGGCCCTAAGGGGCAATGGGGGGACAGGATCTCAAACGGGAAAGGGGGAAAAAGACTTTGGGAAGAGAAGGGTGGAGATCTTGGGGGGAAAAGGCCTTAGGGGGGAACGGGGGAAAGGATCTTAAGCGGGAAAGGGGGGAAAAGATCTTAGGGAGGCAAAGGGAGACGAACTCAGGGAAAAGGACTTAGGGAGGAAAGGGGGGGGAAGATCTTTGGGAGGAAAAGGGAGAAGAACTGAGGGTGGGAAAAGGCCTTAGAAGGAAAAGGGGGGAAATACATGATCTCAACAGGGAACTGGGGGGGGGGGAAAGATCTTAGGGAGGAAGGGCAGAAGATCTGGGGCAAAAAGGCCTTAGGGGGGAAAGGGGAGAACTGATCTCAACAGGGAAAGGGGTGGAAAAGATCTTAGGGAGGAAAGGGGGAAGATCTGGGGAAAAAAGGCCAACAGGGAAAGGGGGGAAAAGATCTTAGGAAGGAAAAGGGAGAAGCTCTCAGGGGGGGAAAGGCCTTGGGAGGGAAAGGGGGGAAAGGATCTCAACAGGGAAAGGGTGGGAAAGATCTTAGGGAGGAAAGGGGGGGAAAAGATCTTAGGGAGGAAAGGGAGAAGATCTGGGAGAAAAGGACTTAGGGGGGAAAGCCCAACAGGGAAAGGGGGGGAAAGATGTAGGAAGGAAAAGGGAGAAGCTCTCAGAAGGGGGGGGAAAGGCTCAGCAGGGAAAGGGGGGGGGGGGGAAAGATCTTAGGGAGGAAAGGGAGAAGATCTGGGGACAAAGGCCTTAGGGGGGAAAGGGGAGAAATGATCTCAACAGGGAAAGGGGTGGAAAAGATCTTCGGGAGGAAAGGGAGAAGATCTGGGGGAAAAAAGGCCAACAGGGAAAGGGGGGAAAGATCTAAGGAAGGAAAAGGGAGAAGCTCTCAGGGGGGGGGGGGGAAGGCCTGAGAAAGGAAGGGAAGGAAGGATCTCAACAGGGAAAGGGGGGAAACAATCTTAGGAAGGAAAAGGGAGAAGATCTGGAAAGGCCTTAAAGGGAAGGGGAGAAAGGATCTCAACAGGGAAAGGGGGCAAAGGATCTTAAGGAGGAATAGGAAGAAGATCTCAGCGGGGGGAAAGGCCGTACACAGAATCGTCGAAGTCACCGCCACTTGTGTGTGGCGAGGTTACCCCCCATGGAACGCAGTCCATCCACGAAGCCAAAAAGTCACTGCCAAAATTTGCCCGCATGTAACGCACAATGATTTCAATGAAAATACGTTGCCAAGAATCCGCTAAGTTGCAAAACACACTGGAACGCAAGTCACTGCCACAGAAAAACATATAGTTTTTCAGCCCCGGAAAGCAAGCAAACCCCATGGAACGCAGTATGCAACAACTCACCCTAAACTTGGCGCCAGATTGCCGCAAAAGTGCGAAAGATGCATGGAACGCAAGTCTCAAGTAAAGTTAAAAAATGTCTGCCAAGCTGGAAAGGAACCAACTAACTCGCATGGAATGGAACCCCTCGTGGTCCTTATCTCCGTGGAATGCAATGTGTTGGAAAGGGGCCAACCCGCATGGAACGGGGCCAGCCCGCATGGAACTCATCATGCGCCAATAAGCACAAACCAATAGAAGTGTTTGAAGAAGCCCACCCGCATGGGACTCATCATGCTGTGCGTACCCTTGCCACTTTGCTACCTTGCCTGAAACGCGACATCCCTGCGCGGAGCACTGTTTCACTTGGCCTTTGCCACCTTGGCAATCTTCAGCCCTTGGTTGGCTTTGGTTGCTAGGTACCAAGCATTGCGCCCCTTTGAGGTGCTGAGCAGACCTTGCTTGATCACCTTGCTCTGAAAAAGCTTGTACAACGGCCACGCTTTGCTGACCTGTGGCCGAAGCTGATTCCGAACATAAAAATCTGACAACGGTGCTACTTTCTCCCGATCTTTGATCGGAAACGAGGACACGATATAACCGATGCACCCGTCAATCGAACTTAGATCCCACTCAGTTTCTGAATCCCAGGGATGCGGGCTCGACCCTTCGCCCGCCACAGCCACAGGCGCTGTAGCCTCTTCTTCTGCCGCCGCTTCATCTGCCACTGCTGCTGCGCTGGCGCTTGCAGAAGGTGTTTCACGCACGCGCTTCCGGAGCTCTTTCCTGAGCGCGCCGGATCAAAAAATCAAAGCTGGTAAAAGACATTGAAGAACAGGGGCGCGCCCAGACGGAGGCTAACAACAGACAAGCAAAGTGCTATTTTAAACGGGACGCATCAGATCGCCAAGCTGGCTCATCAGCTTCTCTTCCTTCTCATCCAGCGGATCTGAAGGAACGGGTGGAAGTTCCATCTTGCGCCAGCCCTTCTTGTGGCCGCCAGTGAGCCACAAGGATTGTGCTTCGTTGTAGAATTCGTTCTTCTGGCCACAACCTGGGCAATATCTATCCGAAACTCCAGCCAGGGCACCACAGGCGACACCGACAGACCCGCGAAGAAAAACGAACCGTCGACACAAAGAACAGACCCAGCAAACACCGGGCCGAGGCGCAGGAGCTTCTCCCCGCACTTGGTGTCCACGGTGTAGGACCTGAGCCAGCAGGCGAAAAAAAGGACGAGCCCGCAGCGACAACAAGGGCGAGGACGACCAACAACCAAGGAAACAAAAACAAAGGCAACAAAGGCGCGTGCCAAGCCAAAGAACACGCGCGCACACCCACCCACACACACACACACACACACCCGCGCGCACGTGCGCACACACCACGCCAGGAGCAGAAATCATAAGCAACAAAGCGATCGTGGAAAGCACTGTGCTTACTGTGTGCTTTGCACTCTCACGTAGGAAGCTTCAGATCCCAACCCGCCAATTCGAGGCATTCAGAAACCATGCCCTCAGAACGCGCCTCTGGAGTGTACTCCAACTCTGAACGCGGCCTTTTCGCTGGCGTGCGCTCGTCGGTCATGGCTGCCAAAGCGTCTGGGAGCTGTTCAGCCCATGGCCACGGAACGCAAATCCCAACGGCACACAACATCCACACGAAACTACCCCGCACCTAATTTCAACGCCATTGGAAATACCCGATTCCGAATCCCAATGGCAACGCAAGCGGCCACGACTTTCCCATGTTGGAATCCCACTGGCATGCAAATGCCAACATGAAGCGGCAGCGACTTCAACAAGTCTGAGTAGGGGGGAAAGGGGGGAAAGGATCTCAACAGGGAAAGGGGGGAAAGATCTCAGTGAGGAAAGGGAGAAGGTCCCAGGCAGGGAAAAGGCCTTAGGGGGGAAAGGGGGAAAGGATCTCCACAGGGAAAGGGGGCAAAGGATCTTAGGGAGGAAAAGGGAGAAGATCTGAAAAGGCCTTAGGGGGAAAAGGGGGAAAGGAGCTCAACAGGGAAAGGTGGGAGAAGATCCTAGGGAGGAAAGGGAGAAGATCTCGGGGGGAAAGGGGGGAAGGATCTCAACCAAGGGAAAAGATCTTGGGGAGGACAAGGGAGAAGATCTCAGGGGGGGAAAGGCCTTAGGGGGGAAAGGGGGGAAAGGACCTCAACAGGGAAAGGGGGCAAAGGATCTTAGGGAGGAAAAGGGAGAAGATCTTGGGGGGGAAGGGCGGGAAAGGATCTCAACAAGGAAAGGGGGGAAAAGATCTTAGGAAGGAAAAGTGGGAAGATCGCGGGGGGAAAAAAGGCCTTAGGGGGAAAAGGAGGGAAAGGATCTCAACAGGGAGAGGGGGGAAAACATCGTAGGGAGGAAAAGGGAAAAACTCAGAGGGAGAAAGGGCCTTAGGGGGGAAAGGGGGAATGGATCTCAACAGGGAAAGGTGGCAAAAGATCTTAGGGAGGAAAAGGGAGAAGATCTCAGGGGGGGAAAGGCCTTAGGGGGGAAAGGGGGGAAAGGATCTGAGCAGGGAAAGGGGGGGAAAGATCTTAGGGAGGAAAGGGAGAAGATCTGGGGGCAAAGGCCTTAGGGGGGAAAGGGGAGAAATGATCTCAACAGGGAAAGGGGTGGAAAAGATCTTAGGGAGGAAAGGGAGAAGATCTGGGGGAAAAAAGGCCAACAGGGACAGGGGGGAAAGATCTAAGGAAGGAGAAGCTCTCAGGGGGGGAAAGGCCTCAGGGGGAAAGGGTGGGAAGGATCTCAACAGGGAAAGGGGGGAAACAATCTTAGGAAGGAAAGGGGGGGGGGAAGATCTTAGGGAGGAAAGGGAGAAGATCTGGGAGAAAAGGACTTAGGGGGGAAAGCCCAACAGGGAAAGGGGGGAAAAGATCTTAGGAAGGAAAAGGGAGAAGCTCTCAGGGGGGGGAAAGGCCTTGGGAGGGAAAGGGGGGAAAGGATCTCAACAGGGAAAGGGTGGGAAAGATCTTAAGGAGGAAAGGGGGGGGGGAAGATCTTAGGGAGGAAAGGGAGACGATCTGGGAGAAAAGGACTTAGGGGGGAAAGCCTAACAGGGAAAGGGGGGAAAAGATCTTCGGAAGGAAAAGGGAGAAGCTCTCAGGGGGGGGAAAGGCCTTAGGGGGGAAAGGGGGAAAAGGATCTCAGCAGGGAAAGGGGGGGGGGAAGATCTTAGGGAGGAAAGGGAGAAGATCTGGGGACAAAGGCCTTAGAGGGGAAAGGGGAGAAATGATCTCAACAGGAAAGGGGTGGAAAAGATCTTAGGGAGGAAAGGGAGAAGATCTGGGGGCAAAAAGGCCAACAGGGAAAGGGGGGAAAGATCTAAATAAGGAAAAGGGAGAAGCTCTCAGAAGGAAAGGCCTTTGGCGGGAAAGGGTGGGAAGGATCTCAACAGGGAAAGGGGGGAAACAATCTTAGGAAGGAAAAGGGAAAAGATCTGGAAAGGCCTTAAAGGGAAGGGGGGGAAGGATCTCAACGGGGAAAGGAGGCAAAGGATCTTAAGGAGGAATAGGGAGAAGATCTCAGCGGGGGGAAAGGCCTTAGGAAGGAAAGGAGGGAAAGGATCTCAACAGGGAAAGGGGGGGAAAGATCTCAGTGAGGAAAGGGAGAAGATCCCAGGCAGGGAAAAGGCCTTACGGGGGAAAGGGGGAAAGGATCTCAACAGGGAAAGGGGGCAAAGGATTTTCGGGAGGAAAAGGGAGAAGATCTGAAAAGGCCTTAGGGGTAAAAGGGGGAAAGGAGCTCAACAGGGAAAGGTGGGAGAGGATCCTAGGGAGGAAAAGGGAGAAGATCTTGGGGGGAAAGGGGGAATGGATCTCAACCAAGGGAAAAGATCTTGGGGAGGACAAGAGGGAGAAAGGGCCTTAGGGGGGAAAGGGGGAATGGATCTCAACAGGGAAAGGTGGCAAAAGATCTTAGGGAGGAAAAGGGAGAAGATCTCAGGGGGGGAAAGGCCTTAGGGGGGAAAGGGGGGAAAGGATCTGAGCAGGGAAAGGGGGGGAAAGATCTTAGGGAGGAAAGGGAGAAGATCTGGGGGCAAAGGCCGTAGGGGGGAAAGGGGAGAAATGATCTCAACAGGGAAAGGGGTGGAAAAGATCTTAGGGAGGAAAGGGAGAAGACTGGGGGAAAAAAGGCCAACAGGGAAAGGGGGGAAAGATCTAAGGAAGGAAAAGGGAGAAGCTCTCAGGGAGGGAAAGGCCTGAGGGGGGAAAGGGTGGGAAGGATCTCAACAGGGAAAGGGGGGAAACAATCTTAGGAAGGAAAAGGATCTTAAGGAGGAATATGGAGAAGATCTCAGCGGGGGGAAAGGCCGTAGGGGGGAAAGGGGGGAAAGGATCTCAACAGGGAAAGGGGGGGAAAGATCTCAGGGAGGAAAGGAAAAAGATCCCAGGGAGGAAAAGGCCGTAGGGGGGAAAGTGGGGGAAAGGGAGGAAAAGGGAGAAGATCTCAGGGGGGAAAAGGCCTTAGGGGGGAAAGGGGGGAAAGGATCTCAACAGGGAGAGGGGGGAAAACATCTTAGGGAGGAAAAGGGAAAAATCAGAGGGAGAAAAGGCCTTAGGGCGGAAAGGGGGAATGGATCTCAACAAAGAAAGGGGGGCAAAAATCTCAGAGGGGAAGGGGGCAAGGGGACAATTCCAAAGGGACGCAAATAAGAAAGCAGGCCTGTAATGTCGGCGGCCTGAGCCGGAGGCGTTAAAATTTTGGAGCTAGCAAACAAGAGGGTAAACAGAAACATCCGCAAAATAAAGTTGATTATTCGCTTCGATCTCCACTGTAAAATGTATCCTTACTTGCCCCTGGAGTCTTCATGTTGGGCTCGTCGCTTGTTCTTCTCGCTGGAAGAGTAAGGTAGACGGAAAGAGCAAGAGATCGCATGACTTTCCACATGTGGCAAACATGTGAAACAACCTGTGCCCCGTGTCACCGTGTCACCCCAGTAAAGTCAAAGTTGGATGTCAACGCAGGAGCGCAAGCACGAACAACACTGATTATGCATGTACATATTCATTTGACACAAATCAGAACATAACATTGCATACTAGATATTATAGAGAATATGAGATGTGTTTCCACATGTATACAAAAAACACATCTATGATTCGTGTCATCTTCCATTCCCCACTTTTCTCCAGCCCCATTCCTCGCATACGAATGGATGTGCCTGGGTGGCGCCCACTGGGGTGGTCCACAGCTCGCAGCGGCCCGGGGAGAACTCCAGGCCACGGCAGCTGGGCGCGGTGGCGCAGAGCTGCTGGCACTGTGCCATGGAGCTGGCCACACGGACCTGGCGGAGGCGACCAATGCGGCGGCGGTCGCTTTTTTTTCCTTTTCTCCAGCGCATGGCCACAGAGTTGATTGAACGTTGAGGCTTGGCCATCTTTCTTTTGATGTGTTCGGTCTGGGATACAAGGGTCGTTTCAATCCCCCCAATAGCGCGAGATGGGAAGGAGTGGAGGGAGTTGGATTCTGTGAGTTCAGGGGTGCTGGGTCGCCAAAAGGGGGAGTTTGGAGCAAGTCTAACTTTGGAGAACATGGAAGCCAAAAAGGGGAGCAAAGGTCTGAAAAGGGGATTCCTGCTCCAGTTCCATGCTAATGTGCAGGAGTGTGAGTGCACGTGATGCTTTCGCACCAGTTGGGATGGATGAAACCCCATGAATAGTGAATAGTGGGATAAACCACCGACAAGCTGTTGCTGGCTTTTTGTCCATGCACAACATGTCTTCCCAGTGCACTTCATAGGCTACAGCCTTGCAGCATCAAACGGGCACTCGAAAAGGCCCTTGAAACTTTGTTGCACCACCTTTTCATGAAGGTCCCCCAAACCCCGTTCAATGGAGAGTGCTTGGGAATCCCTTAGTGCGGCTTTTGGAGTTATAGTAAATTCCACGGCGCTGGGAATAGTGATCGATGACTGAGCGTTTGACCGGCTGAATGTCCCGGGACTTGAGGTTCGATCAACATGTCCTGATTTGTCCATGGTTAGGATATGGAACCCACGAGTTTCCTAAGCCGGAGTCCAGCCAAGCCCCATGTGTGTTGCTTGACAACGCGTCCAGCGGATTGCTTCGGTTTGGATGCGGCTGCCTCTACTCCTTGCTTTAGCCATTCCCAGCGGTAGACTTAAGCCTGGGGGTTCCCCTTCTCAGAAAGCGGATTTTGTCCATCCACAGTATAACAAGCACCAGGCCTCGTAGAAGCTTGCCAAGTTCAGCCCAGCATAGTTTCGGCAGGCACGGTCCTTCCCGCCATCTGCAGCCCGGAACTCCGAGGCAAGTGTCGTCGTCGTCGTCGTCGTCGTCGTCGTCGTCGTCGTCGTCGTCGTCGTCGTCGTCGTCGTCGTCGCTGTCGTCGTCGCTGTCGTCGTGCTTGCTTGTGTGGTGGTCGTGGCGCTAAACGGCGGCCGGTAATCCTGGGAAAAGGGCCATGACCAAGCTCCAACATGGATGCGGCTCATGAAGCACTCCTTTAGCCCCGGTCGATGGTGTCAAATGCAATCTGCCCGCCTGTCACGCAAATGACATTCTAAGCAGCTGCCGTTAACTTGTTCTCCTTCCATTCAGCAGGATGTCAAGGTATGCTGAGAGCTTCACTTGTTTCAAGCCAAGCCGCGTCCACATGAAGCGTATCGGGTGACACCCTCTTTCCACAATGGGTAATGGGCAGCATGTCTGGTCCGAGTTTGGCCCAGTCCGCATGTTCAACCCACGTTCTCGTATGGAAACTACTATGGCATATACAGGCAACATCTTGTGGGTGTCCAAGCACCTGCGTCTCAAGCTGGATCCAACGTACACCAAAAGTACCACATTGCACTGCACTGAAACATCCCGGTGGTAGCCCATTTGGCACTGCCGCGAGTCAAGAAACAACCAGAGGCAAGTCAAGAAACAAAAGTGACAACGATTAAGATCGTGAGTCAGGAAACGCGGAAACGTGAATCAGGAAACGTAATTCAGGAATGATGTGGCCAGTGCCTTTGAATTTGCAGAGATATGCAGAGATGCTGGGAATGCAAGTTTTGCACTGCGTGCTTTGCTTCCGCGCGCTTGGTGCATTGTTCTTTGATATCATCGTGATGGCTCGGATCAGGAAACGACCTGGCGTGCAAAGCTGTTCGAATCAGGAGAGAGGGGAGACATGGGGTGACATGTGTGATGCTGGCCGTAATGCAAGGGGGATTGCGTTGCCGTTTGCTTTGTGCATTGTTCCTTGATATCGTCTTGGCCCAGATTAAAGAACAGCCTTGCATTTTTTTAGGGTTTCGGTTTAGGGCTCAGGGTTTTTTGGTTTCAGGCTCAGGATTCTTAGGGTTTAGGTTTAGGGTTCATAGGATTAGGTTTAGGTTTGCAGGGCTCAGGTTTAGGGTTCTTAGGGTTGAGGTTTTGGTGTTCAGCGTCTGTATCTAGAAAACAAATAAAGACAGTAATGGAGAAAGCGCGCGGTTACCAACGGGGATCACGAAGCCGAACAACATCGAACAACGGCCTTATCAAGTAGCTGGGAAGCCGAACAACGGCCCAAACACCACCCCGACGCGGTGTTCCTGTCGTTCCCACTTCGTTTCCCGACTCTCAGCTGTTTCCTGACTCACGACACCTTGTTTACTTGACTCCAAACTCTTGAGAGCATCCCGGCACGCTGCTCCTGTCGTTGCCGGGGCCGTTTCCTGACTCACGGTCGTTTCCTGACTCACGAAACCTTATTCACTTGACTCCCATTTTTGAGAGCGCCGTTCCTGTTTCCTGACTCACGAAGCCTTATTCACTTGACTCCAACTTTTCACAACGCCCCGCCGCATTGTTCCTGTCGTTTCCACGTCGTTTCCTGACACACCAATGTTTCCTGACTCACAAAGCCTCATTCGCTCGACTCCAAACTTTTCACCACTCCCCGACGTGTTCTTCCTGTTGTTTCCGAGGCCGTTTCCTGGCACACGGCTGTTTCCTGACTCACGAAACCGTCAAACCACATCTACATAGTTCTTGACACGGCCCACCTGTTTCTTGACTTTGTTTCCTGATTCGCCCCTTACCCCTCTGTGAGTGCCCAAGATCAAGTCATGGCAAAGATGGAGTCCTTGAAACAGAAAGATTCCTCAATAACATCAAGATGGACACTTCAAACTGGCCGCATGATGGACTGATGCGAGGCATCATCTGGTCTAACAGTGCTAAAGCGGGTGTGCCTCAAAATGTGTGGCGCCTGAAAAAAACGGCCAGAAAGGGTACCAACCCACCAAAATGGGATACCCTCCCGCCCGCTAACATGGCACCTAGCAGGAGGTCACCTAAAGAAGAACTTGATCTTTCAGGTAGATCCATCGAAATCCAATCCTCGCCCATAAATGAGCAGTGCCCAAACTTCATGGACTTCTCACCATGTGTCTTCCCGGTGCTTTAGTATCCACCCCCACAACCAGGCAGAACGAAGCCCCTCCTCGCTGCCGCAGTGCAGGTAGCTCTGATCCAGGCCGAAGGGTCCGGCACTGTCCTGGCGGTTTCCGAAGATCAGCACGGCGTAGCCGGTGCTGCTCAACGCCGCGCCCATGGCCGGCCAGGGGCTGTTGCGATCCCACGGGGCCTCGCTCCAATCAGCTGAGCGATGGAGGATACCCCTGGGTGTGAGGGAAGCCGTGAACCCAACCATCTCGGGGGTACCCGTATCTTGTAACCCTGGGAAATGCATTGCAATCGAGAACCCCCTGAAAGGAATGGAGTTGCAAAGGACACCGATGCCATTAGAGACAAGCCCATTTACCCACTAGAACCAGGCCTTCAAATCCAAATCAAACCAATCCAAACAGCAAATTGTCAGGGTTACCTGGCAATGGTTGTGGGAAATTACCCGAATTCTGTGACACCAAAGTTGGCCCTGTATAATTTTCTGATACCCGTTTACTGGAACTCGTTGACGACCGAATCTAGTCATGCTTGAAGGAAGATGCGATTCGTACTTGCTAGCGCGAGTGGACCAAAACACATCCACCCATGTTTGGGGCTGTGAAAAACCCAGTCCAACAAACCAGCAAGCCAGGAAATTCTAAAGGACATCCCGTGACGTTTGGCTTGTTATTGAAAACCAACATTAAGCCATTCTACAGGAAAACAACCGGTTTTGGTGTTTTTTTGGACCCCCGATTTCCTGCAAAAGTCTCGAGGATTCGCTCAACTTTCGCCCCGCCTCGTTCATCATCACCGCGCGGTGGGCGTTACTCGCCTCGCACGAGCGAGGTCATGAAGCTTGGGGACTTTCAGCCGCAAAAATGAAAACCCAACAGCTGGGCACTGGGTACATGGACAATACCCTGAACACGGAACCTGGAACCTGACCCAGCGGTGGACCGCTTTCCTTAACTCTGGGGTTCATCTTAGTGGACAGGATGGATTTGTCTTTCTGACTCTGTTCCTTATACATGTGCCCGGGAAAAGAAGAATGGGTAGTGCGGGACTCAAAGAGGATCCAAAGAATTCATGGACGAAAATGCAAACCAAGACTCATGGTGATGGGACGTCATTCGCCGGCTGTCTTGAGCCTTAACGAAAGATGTTCGGCAGGAAAGCAACCTTCCCGTGTATCCTTTTGTGCATGCTGCTGGTTTGTTTATAGCTATTTTTGCAAAGGTTTTCGGAATTTGTACTGTATCAAAGATCGCGTGAACCCAACACAAAATTCGAATTCACTCAGCTCATGTGGCGAAGGCTCTTCATTGTTCGGAGTACCATTAAAAATGGGTCCATGACCCCTTTACTTTGGGTAATGGCCCCATTTTTACCCCATTAAGTCAGAAGCAGACTCCAGGTACCTTGCGTCGGTGTTTTTCGTTGCCAAAGGAAACCACAAGAGCAGCTCCCCAGCTCTCGCCTATCGTGCGCGAAAAGGGAATTCAAGTTAAGTCCCAAGTGGGCAAGGGAGCTCCTCCTAGCAGCCGTTCAAAAAAACAAAGGTTCCAAGTGGCAAATCCAACTCTGCGCTGCCCTCAGATCCCCCGCTAAAAGTTTACCTTTTTTAGCGGGTTAAATGGACACTACCACTAAACACTAAAAGGCTAAAAATTGCTAAGGAGATGGCTGGGAGCCACCAAGAACTTACTGTATAATTAATTCTATGGGTTGCCCGTTATTCTCCAGGCGCGCATGCTCCGGGTGTCCCCAGCATGCAAACGAGCGAGGTGCAACCGCTCAATTCAAGAGGCGTTACCCTGGTTATTGTATGTGATGCCAAAGCTTAAGTTGCCTTTCAGGAAACTTGAAGTGCCGAATTCGGTCGTGGTGACATGTTCCCGGTGACAAATATTGAACTCTACGCCCAGTTTTTTCTTTTTTTTTACATTCGGAACACATAACATTGAATACGTGAATGTGGCTGGGTCCCGGTCTGGCAACAAAAACTGCGACTACTGGTTGTTACCCTTCGCAAGCGCAACCTTGCTCCGCCCCTCTTGGGCACAAAGCGCAAATCAATATGTAATACATATACATATATATATATATAATGCATGAATTATACTCATTCTATTATATCTGGATCGGCAGAATGCGTTCGTTTCAATTGCTGTAACGTGTTTCTTTCAAGTTGCAGGTGAAATGAAAGCGGAGCGCGTTCGGTGCACGTGGACCCTGAGTGGATTGGAGTCCAACTCAGGGAGTAGTTCCAGGGATATACTTGGGGCCGGGGCCGAAATAACTACTCTTTCAGGACAGGCGGCTGACTTTCTGCTGGTTCGTGGGTCCAAACAATTAGCAGCCCTGGGTCCCGAAGAAAAAATCTTGAGCGCGCGGCTTGATGTGTTTCTCTCATGGAAGCCAAGCTCCCCCCCCCTTCCCCCCAAACCTCCCAGAGTTTTGGAGTTGCCCCCAGCCTTCGCGCGAAACATCCGCGCGCAAACCCCAAGCCCCGCACCGGCCTCATGATTTTACCATGACCAAAGTCACCCGCTGAGTGGTGGGTGAAAGGGAAACAAACACGTTTTCTGAATTTGATAACCCCCAGAAACAGGCAAAATAATGATCCCAGCCACACCCAGGTGTTTCCGGCGCCTGGCAAAAAAAGAAAGAGAAAAGGATTCCGAAAACCGGCCCTCACAGGCCTTCCAGGCGTTGAAGGCGCGCTCAGGGTCCGCGGGGCCTTTGTAGGCATTCTCCACGATGTTCCCCGTGTAGCGGTGGTCCCCCCAGCAAGAGGTGATCCTTGTCGAACGATTTCCAGGCATGTTTCAAATGGGCAAAATGTATGTTTTAAGGAGCCCTGCATAAAAAAATAAAATAAAAAAAAAATGGGAAACACCCTGAAGAGAAAGGCCTTCTTTACTTCAGCTTCGGAAGAATCCGGAGGACCCCACACATAAAAACGCAAGACAAGGAGCATTTTCCTATGAAAAGAGAACCTCTGAGTGCGGTTTGCTGGTCCTTTGGGGGAAACACCCTGAAGAGGAAGGAACAAAATGCTCCACTGGAGCTCGGGTAAACTTTTGGCGAATCAGACACTTAAAAAGGATTCTTGATAGAATTGCTATTATTCCCACAAACTAGTTCGGGACTACTCTTGCCGTAGTTGGCAAACCTTTAGACGCAAACCCAAAGGACACTAACCAGTGTAGGGGGGAGTATTTGTTTTGAGAAGCCCATATTTGGACACATTTGACGTCAAAGATTGATTTCTTGTTTGCTAGATCCTAGTTTAACTCTTGGCCCAGTCTCCCTTGAGCCGTTATTTGGGCAGAGACCTCGAAGCTTGCTGAGGAAAAACAAACCTGAGACTATTTTTGGAGCAAATCTGTTTGTCAAAATGGGGACCCGTACATCTCCAAAAGTTGGTTTGCCTTTGGCTTCGCTTTGCAGCCGACTAAAAAGAGGTCCCCCCCCCCCAAGACCAAAAACAACGTCCATATCTGTCTAAAAACCAAAAAATGGAGCCCAGTGAGCCCCAAAGGCCAGGGCTCTCTTTGCCCTTCCGCCACATGCAGTCCGCTTCGGCATGGTCTGGGGTATAACAACACCCGCTCCACCAGCTCGGCTGCGTGTCCGACCAGCTGTGCATGTTGCACCCGCTCTCCCGGCTGTTCTCGCTCAGGTCCTCGTTTTCATTTTCTCCCCTCCCCCAAATGTGAGCTTAGGCCTATTTCAGCCTTGCCCAAACAAATCACTGTTCGCAAAAACCTGCGCCCCCGTTTGCCCAGCCTTGGCAATGCCAGGGATCTTGCCAACGGTATAGCTTGCCGGACCCCTTGGAAGACTTCGTTCCATTTACAGCGACCTTCTGGCAGCTTCCATGTTTGTCAGAGGGAGTGTATTGCCCATCAAACAGCCACCTCCCAGAAACCTGCTTTTTTTAGCGATGTTTCTCATTGCCGGGGAGCTGGGAGGTTTTTTTCTGACTCATCGCAAGCATTTTGTCGTGGCACGCATACAATGAAAGCAATTTGCTGGAAGGAACCATGTTTCACATCAAAAACCTCTGCCATCCAAATGTCCAGTGGGATTGACTTTGGCAGCTTCTAGTCGGAAACACACCAAAACAACAAATGCATTTGTCCTTCGTGCCCGGGGGGATTCATGCCTTCACCCCCACGCCGTCGGGGCTTTCAGCCGAAGGCCGAAGCAAAGGGTGGGAGGGGCTTCAACACGCATCGGACAAATCAGAACACCCTCGGGGAAATGGATTCGTTTGGGTGTGTCTTCTTTCGACCCCCGAAAATGGCTTCGGTGATCCTTTCGTCCCTTAAAACCCAAGCTGAAAAGGGCTACCCTCCCAAAAAACAACAAGCATCAGATGCCTCTTTCAGGGGGCCAGACAATCCGTGTCTGCCCCAAAGCGGCTTGAGCCCAGGTTGCTTGATACCCCAAGCCGGTTTGCCTTCAACGGGTACCAAGTTCCAGGCAGAAGAAACCTCCGGTTCTACGAGGTTGCCCGAGCTGTGACTGGATGGGGTCTCAAAAGTGGTGGGCCCTGGTGGAACCCTGGTGGAACCCCGCCCCGGACCACCCCCGGGAGCCTATCTGGGCTGAGACCCCAAAGCTTTCAGCTGTTGGGGAAAAAACCGCCCCCATCCTTCACGTGGGCGAAGGCGATAGCCATCATCGCAGGAGAAATCTCAATCGTTTGCAGCCCCTGCTGGGAACGGTACTCGTTCACCAAGTGGACGAGCTCCATTGCGTCAAGCATCTCCTCCGACTGCTAAGATGGCACAATTCAGTGGGCAAAGTGCATCACAAAACCAGAATGGGTTGGAATAACCTTGACTCAGCTGTTTGTTTGTTCCATTTTGGGCTGCAGTGAAAAAGAGGTGTTCCCCATTTTGTAGGTATATGATCTATTTTAGAAGATTCCTTTGATTTGCAGGGTCCTTTCGGATCAACCGCTTTTTTGTTCTTTCGGGTTCTTCGCCTTTGTAGGTACTTTGTTCAGCGCTCCGGATCGGAGCGAACAACTGTTCCTTCAGAGTTCAAGATGCCTCCACTGCGGTTGCGGCATCCATGGCTTGCTGTTGCAAGCGGGCATCCGCAGGCGAGCTTACGCAACCTTGCGCGCTTCCTTACGCGTCTGGATGCCCTGAGTTCTGTGCTGTAACCCTTTTGTCTTGGAAAATATGTCAACATCAGACCTGCGGCCCCTTCCTCTCAAACTCAGCAGCTCACGGCTCTTGTGGCAAGCAGAATCAAGGAGGCATCTAAGCAGCTGGCATTCTTTTGCTAGCCAATTTTTGCAAGCAGTCACGAAGCCACAGCTTGTGCGCGCGTACTTGCGCATGCTTCCACCAAAAGGGTGTAAACCACTTACACCGTTACGCCCCTCGGGGTTTTGCTTGCGCGGCGCCTGCCCATGACTGCTGCGAGACATGTAAAGGCGGGCGGTAAGAGTTGCTCTGACTTGTCTATTGCCGGAAGCTACCCCACCCTTGATTTCGCCACATGTGGCAGGATCCCTGGTTGGGAAAAGCATTTCACAAATACAAACTTGGGCAGTTCTTGTCCGTTCTCATAAACTGCTTGGTGTGTAGCTGATTGCGGGCTGGCTGCGGGAGGTTGCAGCTTTGGGCCAGGTTTCGCAGTGTGGTTTGGCCTTGGCCTCATTTGGTGTCTCTTCCATTTCTCAATTTGGGATCAGCTGTCAGCTAAATCCCGGCATTTGGGCAAAGCCAACCGAGGTTTGTTCAACAGGGTGCTCGTGTGCACGCCCAGAATGCTTGAATGCCTCCCCCCAAAAAAAACTCAGTGGCAAGATTTGCCGCGGGTTGGAGCCTGGTTTGGATCGGCGATACCTTGGTTGGCTGTTCAAAGTTGCATTGGCCAGGGATGAATTGAAACTTCGCGCAGACGCAGTAATGCACACATTGCGTGTGTCGTGGTTTTTCACGGGGATTCCATCGTCAACTTGAACCTTGTGCGTCGTGCTGCAACCATGGTCTGGAACGAAAGTATAACCCATCCTGGGGACCCTTCTTTTTTGCGACCCCCCAACCTGTTGCTTGGGCCCATGGGCATCAACCAAGAGGCATAGAGGCGGTCGATAAAAAGGTTGGTGGTTGACAAACGAACGGTTGACTGTGGCGAACAAACCTTAAACAAGCATATCGAAGCTTTGAAGCTTCATCCTGTGATGGGTATCGGTCAAAATAGGGAAATGGATTCGGTTTGGGGGCGGGAGTTGCCCGTCAAAAGGTGACAAATGTACCAACTCCAACAAAAAAAATCAGACACTCACTGAACCTGCAAAACCAAGATTCATCTGTAGGACCCTTGGCCAAACATGGGCCAAATCAGGAAACCCAAAGGCTAAGACGTCAGCTTGCCCGTTGGTGGACGTCATCTAGGGGATTCATGTCCACCTATCGCTTTGCCTTGGGTTGACCCAATTTGGATGATGACAATCCTCAGGGAAACAACGGTGGCTACAATATGACCCCCCATTCTTTTAAAGGTTGTTTGAACCCCAAGGTTTGGAGGTTCCGTATTGAAATTCATATGTCCTCCTTGCCCGCTGCGCTGACCGTCTTCAGCTTCGATGCCGTCCCCATCTGCAGCATCAGCGGCCCAGAGTTCACACAGGTCTCCGAAGCTGCGGCGGCCTGTCGCTGGGTGGTGCTCAAAATGGCGGCGCCCAACAAACCCAGAGGGTCCAAGTACCTCATGAGGATGACTGTGTGACGGTGTGTGTGTGTGTGTGTGTGTCAAAAAGCACAAACTTGGAGCCCCGGCAACAAAGTTTTAAAACACGTGGCTTTGCTTTGCTGTTTTTAAGAGCCCTGCATGGGCAAAGTTGACATGCATGGGAGCCCTGCCCTGCACTTATTAATCCGTTCGATGTCAGCCAACCAAAAAGTGTTTCGCACTTACGGGCGCCGAAGACCCACAGACCATGCACGCTTCCCTCGTGGTTTGGAGCCTGGTTTGGACCTTTGGAGGTGGGAAACCGAATTTACGTCTGGAGGTTCAAATCCCCAAACCACTCATGAGCTGCACCACCGTAGTCTTTCAGCGGCTCAAAGAAACCCCTCTCTCTTCTCCGAAAACATGGATGGGCCGATCAATGCCAAACACGCTCACGTTCCTTGGTCAACAGTAAGGGGTCCACACAAGAAAGCATGTTCAGATTCTATTGAGTCAACCCCAAATATACAACCAGTTTGGAGAGTCTAAGATCAGCGAGCAGAGTTGAGCTGAACATGATCAGGATTCGATTCACGCGCGGCTATAAGTTTACTTTGGGACTCGGAATGGACATCAGTTGCATCGCGATGCGCCATGAACACGCCGCCATGTTCAAATCCCCTCAACCGGCTTCTGATTTGGCCAGTGTCAAGGCCCAAGCGCCATTTCCGAAGACGGATTCCACTTTGCAAATATATGTTTCCCTTTTTAAAGGGGTCCATACCTGCCCTCAGATCCCCTGCTAAATGTTTAACTTTTAGTGGGTTAAATGGAAACCCCCACTGAACACTAAAGGCTAAAAAGCTAAGGGGATGGCTGGGAGCCACCATGTTTCCTTTATACTATGTTGCCAGGCAAACGAGGGAATGACCCGATTCCCTCGCATATAGTCCAACAACCCGCCTGGTGCACGCCGACCAGCACATGGAGGCACAGAACTCTGGCTATCATTAGAACGTGGCCGACAAGCTCCGAGCACGAGACGGCTGCAAGCCAGTGGTTGGAGCAATCAACAGGACCTGAACAGTTGGAACGAGGTTGTATGTCTCGATAGGTAAGATTGATTGTCCCAAGTGCAAAAGCCTGACAAGTGGAGGGGCAAAAGCAGAGCTTATCTGAATCAGGCCAAGCAAGGCTAAGCGAGCAAGCTGACAGTTGTGGGCGCGCTAGCTCACTTTTGGTCGCACATTCAGCTGCCTCCTGGCTGCACGCAACCAATGGGCGGCCATGAGCTTCAAGTGGGTTGCCAAAGGCATGTTTGCAAGAGCGCCATGCTTTCTGGCCTACCTAAGCCTGCGCAGAAGCAGCCTTCTGCACCAATCATCTCCAATAATTCGAAAACATTCCCCCCGCCCACCCCCCCCCCTGCCTGTCACCCCCCTTCCACCCGGTCCTCACATCGGCGCCGGCGCCGGCGCTGGCGCCACTTGCGCCGTCGACGCCGCGGCCTCGGGGCCCAGCGACGCCTGCAGCGTCCGCACCGCGCGTCGCAGGTCGCGGATCTCCGCGCGCAGCGACGCCGCGTCGTCGGCGCCGAGGGCTCCGATGGTGGCGGCCGAGGCCGGGGCGGCCGCCTTAGCAGGGCCTGGGCGCGCGTACAGGGAGGCCCTGTACTTGTTGGACAGAAGTGGGAAACATAAGAATTGGCAATGAGCGAAACTCAACATTTGCTGCTACGAAACTCACCAAGCTCATCGGCCGCTTGGAATGATGTGTGCTTGACGTCATTGCCATCATGGCTGGGGGGTGAGCAGCCGCGCAACACGCATGAACAGTACGTTCTGGGCTGATAAGCGCCCGGAAAAGTGCCAGCAAAACGCATGGTTTAAGCTCGCTCATAATTGATTTGTTCAAGGTTTGCCAGCCCGAAAAAGTATCATGCTGTCCCATGCTATCCTCTTGGCGTGTCGACCTCTCCCTGCTGGCCGGGTCAAATTCCGGTTCTTGACTGAAGTGTCATCTGCAAACTAGCAGTCGAAAAGCCCAAACCCTCCAAACATTGGCTATCCCTAGACTTGATTGGTCGAGCTCGTGTTCGGCCGTCCAGCTCACAGTTTGATGGGATGGCAATACAATACCTGTGGTCTGATTTGGTAGTTTACAGGCCAACGGCCAAAGGAGCCAACCTGCATGGACTTCAACTCGAAAGGCGCCAATCCAAACTACCGAGGATAAGGATACCGCGGCAAGCCGCCCACATGTATCTCAGAACAGGGGGGATCCCCCCTTTCGGAAGACAGGGACTTGTCGAACCTGCGCTTTATGTCAATGGGAGCTCACGTTGCTCAGACTTCGGGGTAGAAAAAAGGATCCCGAGGAAACCAAAGGAAGCCATACCAAAGGAAGCCAATTTGAAGTTCTCCTTTTGTGGGAAGGCAAACCCTTGTCACTACAATACAAACAATAATGGCTGAAAACAAATATCAAGCCCTTGCTATAAACCCTATGAAACTAGCCAGCAGAACCACCTACTCAAAGGGGCGTTGGGCCCAAATGACATGTTGGCCAATCCGAAACCATCATCCGCATTGGCAAACCACTACAAACGGGACCGAATTGAATCATTTCGCCACCCAAGGTAACGGCCAGTAATGTCTACCTAGGATTGAAGGTTCCACCCGAAATAAGGACAAAAGGCTGTCCGGAAAAGATAATAAATGCACCAGGAATAAAGACAAGCACTCCCCCCGGCAGCCCAAACAAAATGCTTAAACAAATAATCCGCGAAGCAAGTAAACACATACGCAAAATACATGACTTGAACCTGCTCCCAAACATCCGAACTGTTTAGCTGGCCCAAATACGTATTTTCTTACCTGTCTCTTGATTGAAAACTGCCCACCATCACCCCTTTGGGCAGTAGTCGGGGACCCAAAGTGGACTTTGTTCCGGGGGCCCCTACAATAGTCTTGCTGCCTGGACCCCCTCCATCAACATATTAAAAGGAAGCTCCAGCAATATCACAGGCATGGAAGCTGAAATCCAGCAATACGAAGTCAAATGAAATTTCAAGTCCCTAAAAAGGTAATCCCCAGCAAATCAAATGGAACTGCACTCCACCAAGATTAAATCAAACAGAAACGAAACTCAAGTCCAATCTCAAAAGGAAGCTCCAACAATGCTACACAATTGAACTGGACAAGACATTAATCTAGTTCCCCCCTTTGCTGACCCCGGGTAACCTCCCTATACTGGAGTCTTTGAGCCCAGTCGTTTAAAAAATTCCCGCAGGAACGGGCCCCTGAAAGGTGGGAAGAGACCCATGGGAGGTTTTGACTGACTTGAGTGGCTTGGCCCAAACAAGTCTAAGCTGTTTGCTTGCCTTTGAAAACTTTTCTCCTGCCCCGAGTGCCAAAAAAATCTAAACTGTTTTCCAGGACCTCTGGAAGTGCGCGAGTTGAATCACGGGCCCGCCCGAGCGCCCGGCGCAGCGACAGCGGCGCCACCCCCGGCGCCGCGGCGGTCGCCGGCGCCGGCGCCGCGGCCAAGTTCTCTGGGAGCGCCGGCAGCGGCGCCATGTCCGGGGACGCGGGCGGCGCGAAGGCGGGCGCCTCACGACTCGATCCGTGGATTTTTTGGGCGCTCTCAAGTGGTCCCCCCCCAAAAGTGGGTTTGCTTCCCTCTTAATTATGCACCAACGCAAAAGGGGGCTCCATCTTGAGACCCACCCCCCAAAAATTTGGCCTTGGCCTTCGTTTTTCTTGGCCTTGGCGGCTGTCCGAAGGCCAAAAGGTTCAAAGTGACGAGAGATGGCGGCGCCAAAGCGGAAAAACCGTCGAGGCCCTGGCAGCAGCCACGTTCGGAAGAACCGTCTTGTCAGCCTGGTTGCACGAGCCAATGCCCAAGGAGCACCTGAATTGGTGTTGGACTAGTTTGTGCTCTTTGTATCTCAGGATAGCGTATGGAGGACCTTTCACGTCGACATCCAGACACTATGGGAACTAGAATATATTCATGTCTGTGCTCTGGATTGAATGAGTACTAATATAAGCACTGCACGTTCTTCATGTGCGCGCGTGTCATCTTGCTTGTCTTGTTCCCTGCGCGCTTAACATGTATGCTTTGAGTGTCCTCTCGGATACACTTACCACTGTCGATAAACAGTACATTCCCTCTGAGACACTTTGCGTTTACACAACGTTGCCAGGTTGGCCCAAATTCAGCCATGGTGTGAGATTTGTGCTGTTGCAGTATGCGACAGATTTCAAGACTTCTCGTGCAAAACAAAAAACACAGATGCAGCCGAAAGGGATATTGACAGGGGTGGGGATGGGGGCATCAATTGAAGCTCTTTGGAAACCTCGCATCTGACTTCCACCGCAGGTCGCACGAAGCAGGGGCCTTTCAAGGGAATGCCCTGAATTTCAAAAGCCATTGTCTGTAGCGAGGATACACCTTGTCTCGACGCAAAAATTGTGCAAAGCTGTCCAGCTTTCCCGTGGTTGCAGTTCATACCAACTTCCTGGACTGCTCTTAGAGTTCTGTCCACAACAATCTGTTTGGTCTGACCCAAGTGCCGCAACTCGGAGACAAAAGCGACAAACACCGGCTCCTTTTGTCAAGTAAAACCGAGTTTATAAGGCTTTGCCAAGTAGCCTGGCTCCTTTCCGTGATCCCACTGCACCCCAGTTGCAATGAGCCCCCTACAATGGTCCACTTGCTCTCCGTGTCGCCTTCCAAACGTCCAAACGGTGGATGCCCTGAATATTGCAAGCAGACCAACCATATTCCATCACACAACTCGCGTGTATATTGCGGTGAATCACAGTGACTGAGCCACAAAATCCAGGTACATTTCGGTGAATTACAGGGGCTCAGCCACAAAACACATTGAAAAGTGCAGCAAAACACAGGGGCTCAACCACAAAACACCGGTAAATTACGGTGAATTCAAGGGTGTTGTTGTTCCCTTTACTGCCGGTACTTCGGGTGCCTCCGGAGCTCTAGCGCCACCTCCCCATTTTCCAACCCTCGCGCCGCGGCGGCCAGGGCCGGGTCTCTCCGGATCGCCTGGCAACGTCATGCAGCCGGGAAACGCGTTTTCGCTCCCTGGAAAAACAGATCTCCAGATGAAGCTTTGAAACCAAAAGGGGGACATACCAAATACATCCAAAGACATGCTTATGCAACCCCCGGTTTGTCGAATCAAAGGGCCCATCGGGCTCCAGCGGTATCAAACGCTTTCGGGTAGAATCATAGGTTTCGTCTAGTTGGTTGCACAAACCCAGTCAAACACCATTGCCTTTGAGCTGAGTGCGGGCTCAGTCTCATTTTCATCCGCATGCAACGGTCTGCATCGATGATGATACACACATCTGAATCGATCGAATAGTCCAGGAACATGTTTATATCGGACAGGTGACAAAAGCCAGGCATGATGTGTGGCAGGAAGTAAACTACGAGTACAAATGGGTACATGCCAAAATAGCGGGGATATAACGTCGTGTTATTATCTTGTTGACTTCTCTTCAAAGGCAAAAGCAGTACTCTCAGAAACGCACACATTCAAATTGGTGAAGCCGTGTGTCCTTGTTTGCCCCCCAGGATCAAGAAGGCCATTTCTGACCGTACGGGCCCAACATATCTGAGGAACCCGTTCCCACATGTTCTACCCTACCACCAACCAACATGGAAATGCGCAAACCCCGTTCCAAGAGGAAAGTAGTCTCTACAGGGGTCTGTGCACTTCCATGTTGGTGGGGGGCGGTACAAGAACCATCCACAAGGATCTAAGGAGTCCTTTCGGGGGGTAGGGGAGTCTATATATGCTTTGTCAGTTTACACCCGAGTTCTTCCAAGCACAAAGCAAACTTTCCAAAGGATGAATGGGTCCAAATATTGGCCCCCGAGTGTTAGCAACCGCTTTATTCTAAATGGTGGATCTAGAAGACATCGAGAAAACATTAACAGAAACAAACAAAAAGCGTCATCCATGCTTCCTGGGAAACTCCTACCAACTGGTGGCTATTTGGGTATGCGTGCCCTATA